ACTCACACAGGAGAACCAACACAAAAGAAATTCTTGTGGTTTCATGGCTAAATAACTCTTCTTTAAACTACTGTGAAACACGTCTTTTTAGCTAGTGTGTTATTTTAGCTAATTTAGCTAAGCGCTAACTCAAGATGTCTTTTATTTAAAATAAAGTATATTGAAATAAACATGAGATTGTTGTCATTTTAACTAAATTAAAATTCTGTTCATTGTCACGTTAGTCAAATTCTCAAAATTGCACATAGTATTTTCAATGTGTATAACAGTATATTCAATGTTCTATTAAATTACAAAGCTTTGACACTAGAGGGGGCTTTTTATCATGACACCTTTCAGTAATGAACATTGTTAGTTATCTTGTAGCAACACTTGTAAACAGTAATTGATCACTGTCTATTTACAGTAACACTGAAGGTGAGCTGACCTTGACTGACTATCAGAGATAAGAGGGAGTGTGATTACTTTAGAGAACAGCCATGATAACTGCCAGAGGCAAAGCCAAGTTATTGTTGACCAGTACAGCCCCGTGATGGATATTAAAGACTACTTTGAGAAAAAGAGCAATAAAACACCAACACCTGTGGAATTCACTGCTTCACTGATCTTCAATGTTGTGACAAAAACATCATTAAGAAGTAAAAAAAAAAAATGTGGTTCTCGTTTCGTGTGATAGATGGACTGGAACTTTCATGGTCTAAGTTTGGTTTACACGATACAGAAATAAGGCATGAAATATTTTTTGAGAAAAAAACAGCATTATGCAAATAAGGAAAAGAGAAAGGTCACTTGATTTTATGCAAATTGTGTTTTTAAATAAAATACTTCAATGGCAGACGTTTTTAATACAAATTGGTAGCATGTGGGATATACATTGTATGTGATGTTTTTTTTTGAATGCACTGTATCTGTACATATGTCAAGAGAACATGACAGATGAATTATAGAATAATTGATGCATACAAAATGATTTATATGTTTCACACCATTTTTATTTCATTTTATTTTGGACCAGAATTTCATAATGGCCACCGGTTGTGATCAAACAATTTGTGAAAATATGGAAAAAAATATGCAGGTTTATTTGGTGAAAAGCCAACTTTGACATTTAAAATATTAATGAGGTAGTATGGGAAGTAAAAGATAATCCGACTAGAATATAATTATGATTTTACAATCGACATGTTAAAGTGTTTGTCGGAATGGTTTTAAGTATTAAGAATGGATTGTATTGTCCAGTTTATGAGTGTTATATACAAACACGCCCTGCCATTAAATATTGAGAATACCCACAATGCATTGCATGTTTCTGAATATAATTTGTGGTCACCTTCATGCAACAAGAAAATACAGAGACAGCATTTTTTTATTAATTCATGTGAGAAACATACAAGTACCCCTCCCCCTCCCTCTCCCATTACAAGAGGTCTGCAATGGTTAGATTACTGTTGATAAAGCAAGTACAAATTTAGAATTGCCCATTACTGTTATTTCATCACTACCATTAGCACTTCAATCAGGATCCCAGGTTGAAGCTATTTTAATAGTTAGAAAGCCTGGATGCATGGAAGTTGACCATGCTACTTCCATCTGCATTTGTGATGTGAACAAAAAGCAGAATTCAGAACCTTACAACAGATTGATTTATGGATGCACCATTTATTAGTCTACCTAAGACAAGAAATGGGAGAGTAAAATATTTCACAGACAAGCACATGCCATAGTATAGTTTTCACATCGCATCCTGTAATGCGAAGACATACAACAATGTTTTAACCATGCTCTTTCCGTTAAGACATGGAGAGACACTCAATGTTTGTGACATGCTCACTGCGATGTTAGTTTTAAAACAATTCATTGTAAATGACATTGATCTAGTCAACAGTTATATAACATTTCAAATCATACACAAATGTGCCAAGTAAAAGTGGACTATATCGTGTTGTAGAAATTCCATATCAGTGGAACAGACCTGATTTAATATGTTCATAATAATGCAGTGGTTCATAGTTAACCCAATGTTTCTTCTACCTTTTTCTTTTCCCACTCAAATTTTGGTGAGTTTGTTAGCAGCTTCTGCAATTTTTACTGAATTCAATCAGAATTTTGGAACAAATAGATAAAATGTGAAGCTACTTCTAGCCTTTGATTAACAAATTTGAAATGTTCATAACATTTTCTGCGGAATAGAGCAGATTATGAATAGAACTATTTTGTGAATGGTGCCTGAAGTTGACTTTGGCGTTCAAAGAGTGAAATGTTCATTCCAAGGCAGTCTAAAAATCATTCTGAAGACTTGAAAGTGTCATTTTGAATTACACGCAAACAAACCATGTATTTTTTAAAAATGTTGTCTGATTGGATGAGTCCCATATGGGCACAATGTAGTATGACAACTATATATGGCTTTAAAGTTTCTATATTTTCAAAAAATGGACTAATGTTATATTATTGTTCTGCTCCTGATTTGATGAGTGTATGTAAATTGTGTGATGAAGATCTCACTCAAATTTAACTAGTCACATGAATTACAAGATGATCACAAAATTTTAAAATTTCAGTGAGTATTGTGAGTTCTTGAGCAGTGAAAATTCATTTGGGGTCATACGACTACATCAGCAAGTTTCGCAAAATGTTGTCTTCAAGAATACCATAAAATCAGCACACTGTGAAAATTAAGCATTTCACAGTATTTTCCAGATTATAATTACAACAGGAAACAATAGACAAATAATAAGTGTCAATCAATGTCCCACAGTCCTATGCTGGAAATCTCAGGGATTGACAGCTCCCCTTGATTTTTTCTGATACAAGATACACTCCCGTGATTTTCTGACATGTGCACTCAGGCTTAATAACACAGGTCAAGAAAAAGGGCACATTAGTAGAAAAAAAAGGCTGACCTATTTCTACAGCACTACTACAGGTGGGCAGTAGTATACGTGCCACTCCATTATGCGGTAAAATGGGTGTATTTGTTATTGAAGAGGGTAGGAAAACAGTCTTTTCTACCAATTGCATTCAAGGGACTACACTACGTCTTGGTCAGACAACTGTGCCCTGATCTACATTTAATGTAATCTGTTTTCACTATTGAATTTTTCCTCCTATAGAATGGTTGAAGGGCGTAAATGTGGGGAATACAGGTGCAAGACATATTGCTGCCTTTCCTCTATTAACTTTTTCACAACCAGACTTTCTTGCCAAAATTTGTTTGTATTCCTTATACTGTACTGTTCAATATTTCTGGAAATGAACGTTAATTTTGAAACGAACAGACAAAATTTGAGTCAATTTTCAGTTTTTATTCAAATTTTTTTTTTTATTTTTGTCGTTGAAGAAAAGGACAGACTATAAAGAGGACTATTTTGTTAATTTGTGATGAAAGGAGGGAACTAAAGGTTTACTAAAAACAAAGATTTTAAATTATGCATGACAAAATTATTAAAATATAAAAAAAATGCATGGCACTATTTTTTCCACAGGATCAAAAATAATTGGAAGCACGGCCGTAAATGATCTGCAAACATAAATAGAACAGTGTGCTTGGTGTGGTTTTAAAATCAAACCATACTACAGTGATTGGGTTCATATGTAGCTTTACTGGAGAAGAAGTTTTAATGGAACAAGTATCTTTTTAACAATTCAAACCAATTTGTCTTGAAAAAAAAAATGTTATTATCAAAAATGATATTTAGTGAACTTTGAATAATGTAAAACAAATCATAGATACCCAGACCTGTGGAAATCTTGTCAAAATATTAATATTTATTTTCATTATTATTTCCAATATTTAAACTTAATTTTAAGCAGCTGGCTCACTAAAATCGAAAAAATTCCGCAAGCCCCTCATCATAGAGCGAATCAAGTATTTAATGATTCAAGATATGTTGCAAACATATATTACCTCCAAAACATGTGTAATTTTTCACTCTATCAGATGGTTTTATTTTAACCCATGTATACAGATGCAGTAGCATTCTCTGTGGGAGCTTGCATGTGTACTTTATTAGTATTTTTAAACATGAAGTATTATTAAGTTTAAAAATAAATGGGGCCACTGCACATTCTAACAAGCATTATTACAAACAATAGCATTTGGGTGCCTTGGTGTTATATTCAGCTGTCATGTCAACTTCATCTGACAAAGCCATTTAACAATTCAGGTAGGAATTTAAACACAATGCCTACAAAGAATGGAACCTACACAAGCGTAAAAATGAATGCACTTCGTATGAAATGAAATGGGTGGTTCGAACAGACTATTATGGGTTTTTGTCTTAATTTCACAAATAACTTCATGTGATCTCCCATCACCGACATAATGTTGAGGTTCCATGATCGTCAACAGGCGCATGTTTTTCTATTTGGGGTGTCGCAGCGCACTTTTTTTTTGGTCAAGTTTAGCGATGTTCTCATTGTTTGCCAACAACTTAAATGGCTGATTTACAAAGTTGAAAGACTTGACAGAAAGACCCATTGTTTAATTCCAAATATATCACAAAAATGTGCATTCAGTGTTGTCCACTTAACCACAGTGGACATATAGCGACTAAATTTACTGTGCGCAATCGGAAACAAAGCCGATCAATAAGCGAACTCCACCAAGTTGATTCTAACGAACATTTCCTATACATGTTTCTTTACCTTAACTATGGATACAATGAAAGGTGTATTCAAGTTCATTTGTGTTTCAAAAGTCTCTAACATTCTGCTTTATTCAGTTGCATAGTCGCTACAAACGTCTCACCAACAACGAACAAAACCAAACATGGTCAATTGTTTTCTTTTAAAATGCAGTGATGGTAAGCACCATGTTGACAACTGTGTTATTGTGATGACAAGTACCTGACCCAATTTAAGCTATATTATAGGACTAGTTTAGAAAATAACTTTGTTATGTCACGATTACTGAAAACATCCACAACTAACAGAATATAAATGATGTTTTTTTGTTTTTTTCACGAGATTCCAAATAAAACATATTAGACCAAACTTACCCTCTGTGGTTGGCTCCCTTGTGGCAAAAGGTATATCTATGAGAGAAGAAAAATAATGATCGATAAGTATTATGGTTTAAACAAAATAACATGAACAATGGGAATTGACATTTGCATATATGATAAATCATGGTAATTACATTTAAATAATATTATCGCAGACAGAAGAAACCACAACGTCGCGAGCAGCGAGACCCACACGTGGGTAAAGCAACTCAGCGTACACCGGCGATGACGACCTTTTGGAGGTTTCACCCAATAATCCTGTTTGCGGGGTACACTTGACGGGCACATGGTCTGTTAGTCAAATATAGGAGGCCAAGGTTGAGGTGATTTTACGAACACTGTCATTATTATAGAAAACACCACTGGTCATTCCCAGATCGAGTGTCCACTTGTTGCCAGTTTCAAACTCCAAGACCCTGCCCTACATAGAACAGGGCCTGCAGAGCATACCATTCAGTTGGAGGGACGCAGCTACAAACACATGTCTGACATACCGCGTGAAGCATCGTTTTACTTTAAGTTGTCATATTTAGATGATATTATCTACTATAAGTTGAAGAAGAAAAAAACGTCCTTGAAGATTTTTGTAGAATAGCAGCACCATGGGAGACTTTAATAAACACATTACTCATTTGGCAAAAAATGTACACAGTATACTTAACGCTTCATTAATACTTTTAATTTTATGAGATACATGGACAGATCACGCAATGAAGAGTATTTAAAATAAAATTTAATATATGTAGCAGTTAACACTGCATGAAAAGTCTGATTGCAAGAAGTCTGCACAGTATGGAGGGAACAGGAGATATCTTGTTCATTTCATTAACAATTCCTATACTTGTTATGTAACTCAGCTTGCAAAAAATCAAGTGAATGAAATTATTACTTATTGTCGTTCTCATTCTACATGTATACATGAATCGGAGAAATGTGGTTAACAAGTTTGTAACACACTGTTGTTTGCTGTAATTATATCATTGATTGATTACATTGTGGTTGGGTTATTCATTAGTACAGGGTGGCTTTTGCCAAACCAGTCACACTCATTCATGCGTTTATCGCATTCACGTTGTTCAATAATCGTGCCGCGAATTGATCACCCTTGCATTGCACATTTTAATCACACATTTACCGCAGCACACGGTGGAACGAATAGACTGCCTTACAAACAATTTTAGTTTTTTATTAGATTATTTCTCATTTACTTCAGCTAACCATAGAGTTTTTTAGCAGACAAAGTGTTAATGAAATGATCTCAAAGACAGGGGCTACTATAGTAGTATATATAGTAGATATATATAGTAGAGGCTGCAATGTTTTCGTTTTTGCAGATTTTCCCATAAACAGGTCTCATTTGATAACATTCCTATGTAGATTTTTAATTACTTATTCTATTTTATTTCAACTTTAGACAATTAAAATACATTTACATTGTATAATAACCGTAAAATATATCTTTATCTAATTCAATTCAAAAACAAATTCAATAATTTAAGCAATTTATGCAATGGAATTGTTAGCATTTTAGCTTGTCTCAACTGATGCCTTGAGTCATTCAACAAGTCTTATAGTTACTGAAGTATTCCTGTTTCAGTTGGTTTACTTAGTTCAGCATTCATAAACACATTCATATCCATTACATAGTGTAAAATGGATCAAATTATGAAGCATCAGATTACAGAATAATTAGAGCAGGATCAACATAGAAAAGGTCATCTGATTGACAATTTATGGATAAAAACAAAAGTATCCAGATTCACAGACTTAGAACTTAGGTGGCAGTATGTATATCGCTATATACCGGTACCAGTTTTGATCTCAATTCACCCAAAAATATGACAGATCATTATTCCTTCATCAATATATCATAACCACTACAAACATCATACTTCACCTCCATAATACCTACACTCTCACATCATACCCAATTACTACAAGCAAAATTAGACATGTTTGGTACACTGTTTTCCTATTTTCCATTTTTAATTTTGGAACAAAAGTACCTATTGGAATTTTACATTGTTACTTTACATGTTCACGTGGGCAGATTTTATTTATCAACGAAAATAGCGAAATTAAAAACCAGCAAATAATTAATGTATTCACAGTAAAATGTTAAATGCTGCCCTCTGGTGGTAACAAATAATATTTTCTTTGTTTTTATTGACAAAAACAAAAGGAAAACTACCACAGACAGCAAATACTATGGGAAAAACATAAAATTATAACCCAGAAAAATAAGAATGACTATCACAATTTACACAAAACATTTCCTCACACAAAAGCAGAAAACTGATCCATAGTTGAAACTCAAATACATATAAAAAGCACTACCTACAGGCTACACCCTACATAAAATTCACTTCCAAGTTCAACCACAAAACCAGACCGGAGGACCCAGCGACGACAACATGTTTAGTTGATTTATAATTAACCAGAATAGGAAATCTTGCATTTGTCCTATAATATTGCAGGAACAGAATTTCAGAGGTTGAGCGAGCACCAATTTTCAAGACCAACATTTATAAAACGGCCTTCTACACATAGGAATAAAAGGAAATACCAAAGAACATCAGGAAAGTTGTCTTTGATGCTTTCAAGATGCTCTGGTATTAAAAAGTCTAAGGCAACCTGGATGGGATAATGTCAAATTAAAAAATATCACATCTCTTCCAGTATACAGTTGTGACAATAGTAATCTATAACCATTTCTCAATCTTAACACTATAAGCAAGTCTTGTTATCTTGACATTACTGAAGCATATACATCCAACTGTTATCACGAGTAGATAAATCAACCTTATGATTTAAGTATCAAAGAAATGTACAGCAAAGCAGCATGAAAGGTGACCTTTTCTATTCACTGACAAGGCACCATCTGTATAACATCTGTACTGAGCTGTGGGCAGCACTTTTCCCCCCTTCTGAGGTAATATGATGGGGTCATAGATGCAACTACAGTAGGTATGCTTAATCCCAACAATGTCATTGAATCAATTGCGTAAAAAACCTTGAAAAATATCTTATTAAAGTTATAATGCAGAAAAAACAAAAATTATAAACAAAATAAGTGTTTAAATGAAGGAAATCATGTACATTTTCATATTCTGAAGTTGCCTAGCAACAGTAATCTTTATTTTTTGTTACTTGGAAACTTTTTACCCCTGCATTCAAGCTGATACAACTTGATTTTTGTGAGTTCATTTTGATGAATAACAACGAACAAAATCAGTCCTGTTAGAAGGTATGATGTCTTAAGGAAACTGGGGAGTAACACTGATGAAAGACAAAGTACTCACTGTTCCACACACTGCATATAGTGTGTTGATACCTTACCTTGTAGTTATCTCTGGGGGAGGGTTGGGAAAACTACTCTATAGTTTGAATTGCATTGCACCATGGGACAACATATTCTTGTCGTCAACATTTTTAATCTGTCCTCCATTTCATATTTTAATTATAATCCAGTAAACAAACTTGCCATGAGGCTTGCCTTCAGACTACTTATGAGTCACAACAAACAACATCCTTTGTATATGT